AGCCCCCATCCTGAAGCTATCCAGGGGCTGCTAAGAGTCGCCTGTTTAGAACCAAAGAACCTCCTACAACCCCTATCACTTAGGAAATTACACAGGACTTAGGAGCTCTGTGCCAGGAATGAGGACAAAGACCAAATCTCTTTCCATGTCATCACAGGTCACCCCTTGGTCACTGACCATGGATACCTTTTAGCAAAAGAACTGTAATAGTTATGAGATACGGGCACACGTCTAGATTCCCATGTAGTCATAATTCATCTAGTTCATCATTGCATTGTATGAAAATGTCTCCCAGGGTGAGGCCACTCAGGTTTGCAGGCTTCCATTCAATATCGTCAAGTTCCAAGAGCAGGAGTGACCTCAGCAACACATGGCTTCACCCACTGAGGTGTCACTGAGGATCAGCCAGACGGAAGAGACACGGAGAGCAAGGTATGGGGGAGTCCCTGCCCTCCCCGGGCTGCAGTTCTCTGGGAGCCTCCGTGTGTTCACCAGCCTGGAGGTTCCCTGGCTGGCTCTTTCCAGATCTTCACCTGGTTCCATGTGGGGGTCTTTTCTTTCAACCTGATTCATTTCTCCAGAAAGGAACCCTCCAGCTTCAAACCCAGGGTTAAAATGCAGCGTGTGAGGGTGAGGGTGAGGGTGAGGGGTTCAGCCTTCCTTTCACAGATTTTCATTGTTTTCAGCCTCACACCTCACCCCTACCGCGTCTCTTAGTGTCCCCGAGCCCTGGGCTTTGCCCATGTCTCCAGGAGTAAACTTCCAGTGTGGGAGACGTTATAGGCCTGGCTGCTGGCGTGTGTGGATGGGGCTCCCCGCAGACTCCCTCCCGGTGTCCACTTCAGATCCCTGCATCACGCCCCACTCTGTCTCAGAGTCCTGACCTCCCCCAGAGCTCTGGGAGGCGGGCTCTGTGCTCAGAGGGGTCCACTCAGCTCGCACGTTGTGGTTCCTCCACCCTCTTCCGCCAGCTTTCCATCTTCTGAGCATGGCTTCAGTTTTCTTGGTCGCTGATGTTTCCCTGCCGTTTTCTCTGTTATGGGTTCAGACCTTTTGAAAATGCCTTGATTATCCTGTATTGGGGTCTGGAAGGCAGAGGGGAGATCGTAGGCCCTAGTTTGCCCTCGTTAAGCACAAGTGTCCCACTAGTTTATAAGATTAAGGATGGGCACCAGTGGCCTTGGGCAGAAGGGAGAAACGGGAGACTCAGGAGAGGAAAAGCCAGACCGAGGCTTTCGCGTCATCTTTATTAACCGGCAGCACACACTTTGGCCATGAGAGGCGGGCTGACAGCGCTGCTGGAACACTCCTGGTGGCGGCCCTCTTCTCCCAAGCTCCACAGTTTGGCCTTGTACAGAGTGATGCCGCTGTAGACCCTGAAGTGGTTCAGCCTGCGGTCTTCGCGTTCCGGGCTGACCTAGAGGGGAGGATGCGGGCGGCAGAATGAAGCTGTGGGAAGGGGGAGGGACCTGGACTTGACTGTGGCCCCGGTCTCCTGATGTGCGGCCCCTGGTGCCTTTCCTTGCTAAAGCCTGTTTGTGAAATGAAAGTGACATTTGCATCAAAAGACTTGCCGGATGGTGTGAGAATAACCTTTGCAGAATTGCTGCACTGCCTTTCCCATGGCCTGCAGTAGAGGCTTATGAACTGTTTTCTCGACTGGCAGGGAAGCTGCATGAGGGTAAATGCTGCATCTGTGCCCCAGCACCTGGAGCAGTGTCCAGCACACACCTGGGACTCAGTACGTATTTGCTGAATAAAGGATGGATGTTGCTGAAGTGCTTACACAGGGAACTGAGTATGAATGAGCCCCCTCACATGTAATCTCACTGTGCAATTAGCTTCAAGGATACACTTCAGCAAACGTCACCAGGAGACCAGAGGCTGAGGGGTATTCACTGAGTGTGGCTTCCCGAGATTCCCAGTATTGGGGTTGGGGTTCTCTGCCTGTGTTGGGCAAGGTCCAGTTGGGGCTGAGCAAGACTCTTCTGTCTCCAACCACAAAACCCTGAAACTCCAGCTTAATTACCTTTTATGGTCGACCTACCTCTTGGTCTAACGTTTTCTGTGTGTACTTTTTTATTTTTTTCCCACCAGTGCCACCTGATGGCATTGTCCCCAGGTTTATGATGAACGGGCTTGGTATATTTCCAGAACCTCTGCAACTCCATAGTGATGAGGTACCTAGGGGCCCACGTAGTCAGTTATCTGCAACACCTAGGAGGGTCTGAGCAGGGCAGGGCCATCCGAGCCGGTCTCACTTCTTCCTGTCACAGC